CTATTTAAATATGTAGTATAAGTTCGTCCATAGCTACTAAATGCGTATTGAATGTACGATCCAGCCAGTGAATTATAAAGCATAATCTTAATCTTAAATGGAAATTAAATTAATAAATTTTCATGTTAGCCAAAAATTGCCTTATTGTTATCACAAACTCGCTCAATATTAAGTCCGCAGTTAAATCTGTCGTCGATAATAACCCCCAGATAAGTATGAGACTTTACTACCTCTACAACACGACATTTACAATTGGTCCGACAGGAATCGTGCAAGCAAACAAGATCGTGAACAATTATATTTCCGGATGAGGATTGTTTTAAGTGCGCAGATTTAATGTATAATAGTTTTGTTTTACTGGCGTTCAAAACTTATATTGATTAGCATTAAAGCCATTATTAGACCAGCTCTTACCCCCATATAACAAATTTTTAAGATCTTCTTATACATATGAGAAAATGTATTAATATTATTTATATTATTAATATTATGTATGAATATTTCCAATAACTGCTGTTCGAAGGCTTTTAATTATAAAAAAGACATAAACTTTTTTACCTTCGTAAGGCGAGGTTGCACGAAATTACTAATTTAAACCAATTTTATTCTAAAGCTATACTACAATATTTGCCAAATAAAAATCGTTTAATGAAAATAAGACATGATCGATTGCTTACAAAAAGCAGAATCATAAATGTCAATAATTGGCTCGATAAAAATAAATAGCAAAAAGGACTTTAAATAGATATTATTGATCGATTTTACGATTTATATATTTCATCTTAACTGTATACAAAAATAGGTTATGATATAATCTAAATAATATATTTTATTATGACTGCATTTGTTTTTTTCTATGATAAAAAATGAATGCAATCAAAAGAGCGCGCCTTTACTCTCGATTTGTATTTACAAGAGAACCTTAACAGATACTTTACCAACTATACATGAAATTGAATGAAGGAAGAACATATCTAAATAGTTAAAATACAATTATAATAGATTGGTTAAAAATATTTGCATAACTTATGATATTTCGTCTTAAAATTAAATCAAATATACAAAGAAACACGCGTTACATCAAATTAAAAGGAGTTATAATTAATGAGTAGTGCGCGTGAAAATATGAGAAACCGGTAATTTCTTATACTTTAAATAGTAATGCTATAAACAGTATAAAACAGAATAGGGGCTCCCAAACAAACAAACGTTAATTATTTCAAACGTGCGACAGTCTGTCTTGCACTTTGTTAAATTTTCTAATTTTTTTTTTAAACAATAGTCGGTCATACTATGCAGTATACTTAGATTTAACCAAAAATAGTGGCAAACAAAAGAAGTCTTTGAAAGTTAAGTTGTTGTGTTTCGGTGTTTTTATATCATTTCCTTTTCTCTATGAGGCTTGATGTTAAATTCTAAACAGTTTTAACGTGAAATGAAAACTTTAACAATAGCTTAGAAACTGTTGTTCTCCGAGAAAACCCCTAAACTTAATTTCCTGTTAGGTGTTGTTGTAGCGTACTGCAAATTGTTCAAACTTTAATTTTCTTTTACTGTTATTACACAGCTGCCTATTTCAATTTTACTTCCTATTATTATTATAAGCTAGGGTTTGCGAGAGTGCAATTTCTTTAATATCTTCATTAATAAAAGTCGTACTTTTTTACATGTTAAACAAAAATGACACCATACATTTTGACATGATATACACTAGTAGCTATGACTATTTTATCCCACAAAGAAGGTTTGTAAATAACGATAAAATCCACAATAGTATAAAACCTTTTTATACTATACAAATTATAAATTAAAAATAAACAATCTAGTACTTTAAATAATTAATAAGATTTGAATTTGGAAAAATTATGGTAGGTACTAATCGCACGGATTAAAATGACAACTGAAGGCCTATTCTGAAGGCTTATACGATATTTCGTCTTTTTTGAAATGCTAATACTACTCTAAATAAAAGTATTGCGACGGAGGTAGAACCTGACACTGCCTTATGATTTTTAAAAAATTATAAGAACGAACCGAAATTTTTCGATTTTTTTCCCGATGACTTATAGAATAGGCACTCAGGTGTCAAATTAATTCATAAGAGTTAAACAGCCAGTTGCCCAAATATCCATTAAAATGTTCGTTAGTTTAAAGCGACATTACTCAACCAACTTTGACATCCATTACAGTTTAATGGCGTCATTAGGGCTAAGAGGCGTTACTAGATCTTAATGGACGTTTGTGCAACAGACCGATTATTATTAGGTAAATTGCCTGAACAAAATTACTTACTAGTAGCATCTGTTCTAGTAGCGAAGCAAAAAGGGGTTTAAAAATAAAACAGTCTGATAACTTAATTGCTTAGAGCAGTCAGCCGAATTACATAAGGTTCGAATAACATCTCATCATGGAAATGATGAATTTTTAAAGGATATTTCTTTAAGATAAATATCATAATAGCATCATAAATACAAAATTGAATCAACTATAATAAATATGAACTTTCAGAATATAACTATTTGTAAATATGTTTATATCTTCCACTAAATTATAATTTTTATCTATCTATAGTATTATTATAAAGAGGAAAGATTTGATTGTTTATTTGTTTGTTTGAATAGGCCCCGAAACTACTGGACCGATTTTTAAAATTCTTTCACCTACGGAAAGCTACGTCATATGCGGTGAACATATAGACTATATTTCATCCCGAAAAACAGCAAAGGGATGAAAAAGGGAGTGGAAGTTTGTATAGGGAAAACGTTACTATAGTAACCATTATTTGTTATTCAATTTGTCATTAGTTCATTACAATAGGGATGACGACTGAATAAAAAAAATGCAATTCTATTTAGTCCGTCAGTCAGATAATAGAAAAATATTAGATACGTATTTTTTTTTTTTACTTTAATTTAACTAGAAATACAGCCAGTTGCACAAACGTTCATTAAATTTTTCATTAGTTTAAAGCAACATTACCCATACAAGTTTGACATTCATTAAAGCTTAAAGGCGTCATTAAACCTTAATTGACGTTTGTGCAACTGACCGTTAGCTTAGATAACAGGCATTAAAGTTGGGTCTGGCTACGTCACAGTTTAGTAGAAAACGTACCATAACGTGACGTCATGCGAAATTTCAACTCCATGTAACGCCGTAATTTTATGATTACGAAAAAAATAAAAAAATACGTGTTTAATATTTTTTAACACTCTACCTGACGGACAAACAAACAAAAATTTGTCGTCATCCCTATTATATCCGTGTCATGATATGAATCGATATCTTATTAACAGTTCCCCAGGGTCCACGCGGGCGAAGCCGCTGGGGAAAAGCTAGTAAATTTGTATAATCAAAGATAAAATCACATAATAAATTAAGTATGGAACTAGACAAGGTGTTTTTATTACTACAAATAGTATAATCTGCATGACATAAACCTTTACAGGTTCGTCGCAGTACCACATAAATAAAAGTGATATTGTAATAAAGAAATTGATGTATACTACCGATTAAAATTAATATCAATTTGGTTTATGGGGTAGACATTTTATTGAAATAAACCGAGGAGCTTTATGGCGAGTGGTTAGAGCGCTCGGTCTGCGATACAGATGTTGAGCAACTTTCGCAATAGCCGGCCATAGGATAGGTGACCAAAAATATTATCTCGAACTCATCCATGTTTCGGAAGGTACGTTAAACCGTTGGTCTCAGCTGCGTCTGCAATCGTGTACACCTACCAATCCGCACTGAGCCAGCGTGGTGCAACATGGCCCATTCTCCCTATTCGATTTGATTTGATTCTATCTATAGGGAAGGCCTAACTTTAATATACTAGTGACGAAAGCTGAAAAACGCAAGAAAACGTAACATCAATATGAAAGGAGATAAAAAAATATATACGCATAACAAACTGAATATTAAATTCCCCAAATATTTACAGGAATCACATAAGCCGACCGAACGAACCGGAACTCATCACCTATGGCCGGTCTTTGAAACCGTTGCTTAATATCCATCAAGCTTAGGTATCTATATACAAAAACTCTTATCATAATGTAAGAAACTCTTTGGTTTACTAAAGGAAACAGTTCACATATTTTTGTTATTGAACAAGAAAATGCTTTTCAAACTTGAAAAATATAAAAGGGCCTTGATCATTACCATGACATACATAGACTGTCATTGAAAATTTATTTACCACCGGTAAAAATAGTAAAAGAACGCATTGGCCGACGAATTAATAATATATCTACATGCTGTCAAAATTCTTTAGAGAAATAAATAAATGCTTCTGACGAGCGGCAACTGATGTGTGGGACTTTTTCGTGAACCTATCTACCACCTGCCCGCCTAGGCTCTCGGGGTTCTACCCACTTAAAATTCTACGGTATATATAGCCTTTTAGGGTGCCATATCCTCCCTCACCCTCCGATTTTCCTGAAGATCCTAAGACAGCATGAGAAAGGGTCCGTAAGGAGTTACTTCTGTGTAAACAGGTTTCGGTCTTATTTGTTTCTTGTCGACATCCTTAAAGTTTGGAAAAAGTTAGACAATTCAAAAGTACTTTCAATAAACTTATTTGAATAAAGGATGTTTTCATTTTATTCCATTTCCCTCGCTCTCTCTCTCTTCTATCTCTCTCTCTGTCTCTCTTTCTCTCCCTCTCTCTCTCTCTGTATATATTTTTTTTTACTTAAAACTATGTTTTATTGAATCTATTAAAGAGGTCTGGTGAATTTTTTAAACAAAACATTTTACAATTGGAAAACGAAAATAATTCATTTGTTATTTGAAACGTAGTTTCTAATAGATTAAAGGTTTCGCTCAAGGTCAAGAACGCGTTAAAAGATTAATGCAAGGGCATCCCATAACACGCACGCTATGCAATCAACTTGTCACCGATGATATATGAGACGATGACGCCATAACACCACTAAAAGTCCTCTCGGAATACTCCATTTAGTCGGTATTCAACATCGGGATCGTTAAGACGCAATATGTCCTACTATACACAAAACAGTTTGTTCCCAGTCCCGAATATACCAGTGCAGAATGGATATGCCTCTCAAATGAATGAAAAGCAAAAGATCAGTGTCAATTTTCTAGACGTCACACCTGCTAGAACTCCTTATATAAAACCTTCTTCTCCTAATGCCGTGGTACCTCTAGAGAACACTCTTATAAATCCAATAATCAATAGAGATATTATCTACGAAAATATTAAACCTGTCTTCACCATTTTGCGTGTCATGGGAGTACTTCCTTTAACCAGAACTTCTCCTGGAAATAACGAATTCCAACTTGTTTCTCCGCCAATGGTTTATTCGGTTATCGTTTATTTCTCATTGGTTGCATACATTATGTATTTATCTCTTATCAAAGGCCAAATTATGCGCACGTCAGAAGGTAAATTCGAAGAAGCTGTAATCGAATATTTGTTTACAATATACCTTTTTCCGATGTTGGCAGTTCCTATTCTTTGGTATGAGACGGGCAAAATAGCTGGTGTACTGAACGAGTGGGTCAAATTTGAGGTAACTTTAGTTTGAAGTGTTTTAAAGTGAAATATGAGGATTTTAAAGTGTCCATAAGTATTTTTAGCATCAGCCTATTTATGTTCTCCCTTCTATATGCCACATGCAAGCCTTTATATGGATGAAATAGTTGCAAACTCATGCTCAGTGTGCATTGGTGCACATTGGTGGTTGTAAACAACTGCAAAAGTAGCCTGGGCACGGAGAAACTCATGCTAATAGATATTGAATCACCCATCCAATAACCAACCATCCTTCATGGCAGACTAAAAAGGCACTAAAAAGACTTGAGTATTTTTTTTAAAGTAAATCTACGACTGGTTCGTTTTCCTTTAGTTGTCATTTCTATTCTTCTATTAGAATAAATTAATGTTTAAGATTTTCACTATATCATGATAATTTTTAAAATATTATTGTTTATTGTTTATTTTTTTACAGACAGCTTATCGTCAATTGTCAGGACAAGTTCTAACCATAAAACTATACAGACAAGCTTTAGCAATCAGCATCATCATACCTACTTTATCAACGACATCTGTCATCATCACACACATAACTATGAGGCATTTTGAGCCTATGCAGCTAATACCTTACGTTTTCTTAGAAATCCTTACCTATATCTTGGGAGGGTATTGGTATCTAATATGTGAAGCGCTGAGTGTGTGTGCCAATATATTAGCCGAAGACTTTCATCGGGTACGTATAAATAAATATAGGCAAATCAGTCATTCGTAACTTTCTAGTTACGCTATCTTCTCGTTATGTGTCACCAGTGGCGTAACTACATGGTGGCAAGTCGGCAAAATTCCACGGGTGCCTAGCCGGAAGGGGCCCCCGGTCAGAGGAGGCTCCCTACTCCTGAAATTTATCATTACGCAATTAGTGAAAAAAAATTGAATATATTAAATAATATATTAAATAAAAAATTTAATAAAATTGAATAGATGAATTTGCCATGGGCCTGAAACGGTATATTTATGCCACTGTGTGTCACCCGCTTTAACTGAGCAATCCTTCAAGCAAGGTAAATTAAATTAGTACTCCTGCGTTTATTATTCGACCGCGCTTGGACCAAGCATTGCTCGTTGGCTGAGATTTAACCTTCTTTTAAGAACTATGATTAACGGCCATGTTTAAAATGATCCTTATACTTATAATAATAACACTAATATGATTTTAGGCTCTTCGAAATATCGGACCAGCAAAGAAAATATCAGATTACCGCTCTCTTTGGCTCCGTTTGAGCAAAATAGCACGTGACACGGGTATAGCCAATTGCTACACGTTTACGTTTGTCAATCTCTACTTGTTTCTGATCATCACATTATCAATCTACGGTCTGCTCAGCCAGATATCTGAAGGATTCGGAATTAAAGACATTGGTTTGGCACTCACTGCTTGTTGCAGTATTCTGTTGCTATTCTTTATATGTGACGAAGCCCATTACGCATCTCATAACGTAAGTTACTTAATGAGGAAGTATTTTAAGAAAAAAAAAAATCACTAAAAAAGCTCCTCACTAGATGGGACTCTACCAAAAGTTGATTTTTGCAGGATACGAACGGAACAAAGATAGTCATTTCCGTTCCTTTTAACTAACATGTTAAATAAATAAAATTTGCAAAGTTCGAAACTTAAATATCAATACAAATTTTATAAAGTACAAATAGATTATGAGTTGTTTATTGAGTTTTGAAAATTAATTTATTTTTTACATGGAAGAAAACCGGTGGGGTTCTTGATTTCTAAGAAAGTACCGTAGCGACATCTAGTTTGCTTTCAGGAAGTAATGCTTTTTTTTAATACTTTCTCATTGTTTTATTATTACTATAAGTAATTGTAAACTTGTAATATTGTCAAGAAGTGTAATCTTAAGGGATTAATAGGATTGAAGCATATGTTTTTTTAATAATAATAATCAAGATTTTAAGGTTGGGCTTCTCAAGCTATTGCTTTACTTAAAGTTTTGCAACAGGTTCGTTCAAACTTTCAAAAGAAGCTGTTGATGGTGGAATTGTCGTGGATGAACGCAGATGCACAGGCGGAGCTGAACATGTTCTTGCGTGCGACCGAAATGAATCCGTCCGAAATAAGCCTCGATGGATTCTTTGATGTCAACAGAACGCTATTCAAATCAGTAAGTTAAAATTATATTATATTAGATTCTTACATATAAAATTGGCGTTTTGTCGTACTGGCCACTTTAACCACACATTTTTCCTCCTTGGTTGGGTATTCTAAATTCAAATTTATACAGCCATTTACACACGTATTTGTGTTTCGTTGGGCGGCAGTCATTTGGTTTTTTCTTCTGTTTGTCCTATTTACACCCAGTATAAAAAATGGAAAAGTTGAAATATCGTGTTATTTACGAGTACGAGCTCCACCGTGATACCAGTGCTGCGGAAACGGCTCGAAGGGTTGTATGGCGGTTATGTCGCAAAAGCAAACGTTTTCGTTCTGGAAATTTCGACCTGCAGTACAAGCCCCGTGGACGATCGGAGACTCAAGTTAATAATGAAGAATTAAAGGCTTTTGTGAAAGCAGATCCATCGCAAACCACGTCCGACTGCAGGCTGCGGTGTTGGTGATAAGTGTTTTCATCCACTTGAAGCAAATTGGAAAGATTAAAAAGCTTGAAAGATGGGTACCTCACGGATTGTGTGATTCAAACCGGCAAACGCGCTTAGACTGCTGCGTTTCATTACTTAACCGGCACAATAATTCATCATCATCATCAACCGGAAGACGTCCACTGATGAACATAGGCCTCCCCCTAATTAAAGATTTTTAAATCGAATCATTACCTGCGATGAAAAGTGGATTCTCTACGATAATCGGAAGCGCTCATCGCAATGGTTGGACCATGGCATGCCAGCCAAATCCCCAAAAAAGTTACTTGTGTCGTTCATTACAGTTTTTTCAAATCTGGCCAGACCATAACGGCAGACATCTATTGTCAGCAATTGCAAACCATGCTGGAAAAACTAGCTGTTAAACAACCGAGGCTGATCAATCGCTCTACGCCACTGCTACTTCACGATAACGCTAGACCGCACACTGCACAACAGAAGGCTACCAAATTAGAAGAGCTTCTTTGTCTAAGATATCCACCGTACTCCCCGGACCTTGCTCCAACAGATTACCATTTTTTTCGAAATTTGGATAACTTTTTGCAAGGGAAAAAATTCAACTCCGATGGGCCAGTGCAAATCGCTTTCAAAGATTTTATTGATTCCCGTCCGAATGGTTTTTTTAGTAAGGGGATCAATGTACTACCTATGAGATGGCAAAAGTGCATAGACAACAATGATTTATACTTTGATTAAATAAATATATTATATTAAAAAATATTCAACTTTTTGTTCCTGCCATACCAAACACCAATTTCATATGTAAGGAACTAATATTAATGTGACAATTATCATTTAGTAAACTTACCCTCTCGGTTAACCCTCGGAATCATTTCCACTAAAATCCACCCCAATGCAGCCCTATCCTTTCAGAAGTAGCTCAGGATCATTGTGGAACTTTCAGATTTCTCCTCCAACTAATATGGGATTATGGATATTAAAAATACTTTTAAATTTCAAATCAAAGTTTAAAATTTTATTATGAGTGTGTGAATCAATGCGAAGCAATAAGGGTCTTGACTGAGACCAATATCAGCACATTTGTTAAGACTCTGACAATATGCTTACAGAGCAACAAGCATTTTTGTCAAATTCACTCGAAATTTGAAAATATAAAATTTTACTGTTTTTATGATCTTTATCGCTAAAACGATTTCTGTTACATATTTAGTTTGGTGTTTTTTAAGATAACATCTTTTTTTAAATCTAACTTTATACTTTCTCATCTCACAGTTGATGGCCACAATGGTTACATACCTTGTGGTGCTACTACAATTCCAAATCAGCATTCCTAGCGAGGGTCAAAACTCTGACGAAGAAGATACTGTCAGCAATGTGACCGTGGGTTTTACAGATCCCATAACTACCACCACTACAGCCATCACCACGATATTGACGACCGTCGCCAAGAAGAGAAGGAAACACTAATTACCGTATATATTACTTCTACAATTAAACGCAAGAGGTATACCTGAAAACGACATAAACAGGGAGTTAATTTGACATTTGAAAGATATTCATGAACTTGAGGCTACAACTATTTGACATGTGATAACTATTTTGATCATGACGTTTTGAATGAACGATAACGTTAATTTAACCTTAATAAAATACGTTTGCAAGCTATTCAGAAATGTCGAGAGTAATGCTATCTGCAAACTTTCAACGGGTTTAAGTTTTTACTATCTTTCTTGATCATTCCAATCATGATTCGTTCCAAAGGAGACTGCAAACTTAAAAGCTATATAATTCCTTAAATCGCTATCACCATGGCTATATCTTGGAAAGTGAGTGAGATAGATTTGAAGATTAAATAATAACACCACAACATTGCAATAATAACATACGTTGTGGTTTGCATCAGTCTGAAATTAATGCATATAAACTAACTAATTTCTTTATGTAAATTATAGATTTATAGTAGATTGCGTTAAATATTGAAAGTTGAAGTTAAATCAATTAAAATCCTAATATTATTGTAGTTTTATTTGTATAAGTTATTTATCCTCTTTTATAAATATAGATACTGAAAGGTTCATGATGTTGATATTTATATTTAACACAATATTATAAAAATATAGGTCAAAACTAAAATAAATCTGAAAAAAAAAACAGTTAATAAATGACCAGGCTATAATTTATTAAAACTACCGTGTTTTCTCACGAAACGTTTTTGACCTCCGACGCGCCTGTGACACAGGTCACAGCACCGAACTCAAGATCGTCACACTACAAATTAAATAAAAATCTAATGTTTTTTTAATGTGATAATTGAATCATTACGAAATCTCAGTCTACAAATTAAATTTAAAAAAAACTCTACTAATTGGATACTCTGGCGTTGTTTTTTAATTATTTTCTTAGACAGACCATGATCGCCTGAAAATAACCATAGTGATCGTCCACACTCCTGAGGGCACTATCGACCAATGTAAATAAACTTGCATTAGTCGATAAAGCAATGACAGTCAACAAAGTAAGATCAGAAATCTTTCTGCACTCCGCACGTAGGCCCCATCGAGCAATAAAAATGAGCTTGCTCTAGTAGATAGAAAAATAATAGCCAATTACGACTGTAAGATGCAGGTGATACTCGAAAACGGACATAGTAGGTATAATACAAGTGAGCCACGTCCTGCCCTGTGATTTGTTAACATCCAGATACGAATTCGTATTCACTCATGTGTCCGAATTTACGTAATTTAGAGTAGAACAGGGGCGTAGCTACCGTTGTATCTGTCGTATCAATTTTATGGGGCCCCCGGGCGAGGGGGGCCTCCAACGTGCGTAAGCAAAAATTAATAAAAACTTCCCAAATTTCTTTTTTTATTTACAATATTAGAAAATTTAAAATAAAACAGTATTTATGTCAATCAAATCACATGTCTACTCAAACAAAGTAATTGAATATACATAAAAATAAACCTTATTTAACACCAAGCATATTTGTCGTTTAAATATTCATTCACAGTATAATATCTATGAGTTTTAAATGTAATATGAGTTTTAAATTTTGGCAAGGGTAAATTTAAAATTTCCATAGGAATTTTATTGAAGTAGTGTAGATATACCTTAACCTGCATGACCGCAAAACAAGTTTATCTTTGTTTCCAGTATAAAATTATGTACATGACTATGTTTAATGTAATTGTTAATATTTTTTCTAACATAAAGTATGCAATTTTCTATAAACTGAGAGGCCACTGTCAATATCCCAACCTCTTTGGATTTATTTCTAAGTGATTTTCTTGAACCCAACTGATAAATAGCCCTTACTGCTCTTTTTTGTAAAATAAATACAGACTTTATATCTGCAGATATACCCCACATCAGAATGCCATATGACATAACGCTATGGAAATAACTAAACTTTACTGTCCTAGCAGTATCTACATCTGTGAGTTGTAGACATGGGTAGGTAACGCGTGTGATAGTACAAAAGTAATATCACTTTGCAACGTAATGCAACATCACGCATTACGCGTCAGTTACAAACATCACTGCATCACTCATCACTTCGGCAAAAAAGTACATAAAAAAAAAGATAAAAATGTAAATATTGTACAAATGTGTATATATGCGTATATATGTATATGTCTATAAACCAATCAATGTTGTAATAATTGATTTTTAAATACGCCTGTCTTCCTTAAACAAAGATTGCCAGTCCTAAGCCTAGAGGGCCCCTTTTTTATTTTGTTTTACATTTGCTTGCGTTCATTACAATTATTACAACAAAAAATACGTGGCCAAGTATGAAGGGAAATCAACTACATTTTTTAAATATTTACTTAAATTGTAATTTTACAATATGTAATAAGTATTGCAGTTATTTTGAACTTTTGAATATTTGCGAATAGTTCTTCACGTAGGTAATCAATGAAATTTTATTTGTGGTTATATTTTCTTAAATCGTACAATTCATAACGTTTATTTCTTCTTTTTTAAATACCTGTTGTAGCCTAGTCACAGAACTGTAACTTCTGTGTAACTTTTACAACCTTACACGGAAAAGCCTTTTCAGATTGGTCTACACTCAATAATTTTAGGCTCATTAGTGGTATTAATTCTATATGTGGTCTTCAGTCCATAATGGTTAGATGTAAGATTGTTGAATACTAGTTTATTAATCGGATCATAATCAGAATATATATTATCCAAAGAATTGCCTGAATGTGCCGTTACTCTAGTACACTCAAGAAATTGATTAAATAGATTGAAGCATTTAAATAATGATAGCAAACGAATGGATGTTGTACTGTGCACTAGAAGATCTACATAAAAATCACCACTCCCAACCTAATATTTGTTTTTTGTCTGTAATTTCCTAAGTACATCTTCCATTACCAATTCAAAAGTTCCGTAGTCACTATCAGGGGGTCGGTATACACATACTATTTAGCTCCAGACAGGATACCTCAATATGACGTTCTACTGAGAGATGAATTATATCTTTACGCTCCTTAAACTTGAAATTATTATTTAGAAATATTAATGATCCTCCCCGCTGGGCTCTCCTACGTTTATATGAACTTAGCATTTGAAAATGTTTTAAATGAAATGACTTCTCACAAGGTCTCAGCCAATGCTCTTTTGCAAATAATTTTAATTCTAAACCTTTGCCAGTCAAATCCCGAATATTTTGGTGAATAATATTATAATTAGTTGATTTGACTGTTGTCTTAACTGAGTTGAAAATTGGTATAGTATTATTTACGTTAGTAGAATTACTAACACAGTAGTTAGACTTTGTTATATCAACTATAACAGAATTTTATAAAGTGAAAGCTAACAGAGTAGCTATCCGAGTCCTATACGTATAATTTTGCTAGGTACAAAGTATCTATTGTCAACTTAAATCTATCTATAATACTCGTATAATAAAAACGTAACTGATCGATGCCTGACCATTGAAGATATATGAAAAAAACGGTTATGACGGACATTTATAAGCGTAATAGAACACAAAACAATGATTTTGAAATTGTTTGTCTGTTTGTCTGTGCGTTTGAGAACGATAATCTCAGAAACGGCTGAACCGATTTAGATGCAGTCTTCACTATTATACTGTGGTATTCTTCCGTTAACATTCAGTGTAAGATTTAATTCAATCGGTTCACAAATAAAAAAATTATGTTAATTTGAAGTGACGTGTTCGCCAAAATTACTATGAAATATTAACTGTTTTATTAAATTTTCGTCTTTTATATATTGATCATCATCATTAACTTTTTCACAGCCAAACTGCAGGGTCTCAGGCCTTTGTTTAATAATTTTTGGTCACTCATTCCGTAAACAACTCTTGCGAAAATTGCTTAGCAAAAGCGATAGTACGCAGTGGCGCTTATCCGTAACGCCAAAGAGCTACGAATTAATATTGTCTATAAAATGATATTTTGTATGATATGATGACAAACAAAACAATAAGATTCCAAAATTTTTACAACTCCAAACTAAGTTGACCTCATTTATATATAGCCAATCATATGAAATAGGATTCAGCTAATAATGATCGATTGTATTACCATCCAGCTAATCTTTTTCATCCTTCTCTAAAAGCTTTATACTACTCTAGGTAATCTTCTTGAGTATGTAGACTGACAATCTCACCTTGAATAGGTTTTCCTTGTTACTATACGCTCTGTTAGCCATCGTTACTTTAATTTTTTTTATTAAAAACACAACTGCAGTGCTAATATTATCGGATACATGTTATAAAAACTGTTAGGTCATAATAGATACATACACATGAAATAGTATTTAGAAAATTGGCAGAGTGTGTATTTTCTTTTTTTCGAAAACATCATAGTAAAACTATATCTCCAACTGATTTGGTGCGAAAGATAATTTTTATTAGCATTAAATTTCTTTCTCTTTAAGTAGCTCGGTGGCGTAGTAGCCTGATACAAATACGAGAAAAACGGAAATAATTCGATATAAGCCTGGAATATGTTTAATCGTGTTTGTGAGCCAATTACAAGAGACTATACTTAAGAATCCATCTCATTTTAGCTACGGAAGGTATAAAAAAAAACATCAGGTCAAAAAACCTTCATTTATTCATGCAAAAATACTAACACGATTTTTTTCACAAATTTTGGTTTTATTTATCATAGCGACAATGAAAATTACTAAAATCCAACTAAAAAAATTACAGGAAATAGTGATTTTTATTAAACTTTATTTTTTACTTAATTTTTTTTTGTTGTAGTTTAATATAATAAAACTTTTATTTAAATATTTATGAGTGGATTTTAATGATATTTAGTAGAATATGTGTTTCACTCAAAAGTCTGCTGCATATATTGCGTGTTATATACCAATATTCCACGGGAATATTGGTATGCAATATTCCCATGGAAATTTTCATTGGATTCAAAACAAAATATACTTAAGAGGCTGAGGACACCGAATGATTTTTAGAAATC